GAAGCGCAAAGTTAGATCAGAACTTTTAAGGCACTCAAAGGTGTCAGAGATTCAGGCTCAATTATCTTGTTGCTCCCCATAGGATTTCTAACAGTCACCTCCTAGTCCAATATGGATGCGAGAGCTCCAACTATTATATCCTCATTAGCCCAAGAGGCAGGAGGAAATATACAAATGCAGATCTCCCCTGACTTTAAACATCACTTGCAGTTACATCCATTAAATGGAACATAGTCATATGGCCATACCTACCTACTAAAGAAGATGGAAAATATGGTTTTTATTCTGAGTAATCAGGCACCAAACAAAAAATGGGGGTTAAAAATTGGGAGTTTTAGACAAGAAAGATGAATACCAGGGGTAAACTAGGATTTTTAAACTGTGTTTTAAAATGCAGATTTAAATAAATACTTATAGTACAATATAAGCTAGAAAGTGCTAATAAGACAAACTAAGAGAATAATGTGTTTGACTTTAAACTTATGGACCACTAAGCAGCTGTAATTCAAATTGGTCTCCTGATAACACAGTCAAATTAGGGAATCACTGATCCAGAAGAATACTAAATAATGATAAGAGTAAAATTGTGGCAGCCACATACTTCAAGCACATCACTTGAATATCTTTAGGATAATGCTAAATAATGATGAAACTAAAATTGAGGCAGCCAGAGACTTAAACACATCACTTCTATTGCTTTAGACATTCACCAGAGACATAGCTTTGACAAAAATAATGAGATAATTTTTTAGACATTGGGAGTTTATCGTTTCAGATCTTCAAATCATGCCATAAATAGTATAACAGGTAGCTTATGTGACACTATGGAGAATAATATTATTCTCCATTTTCCCTGTTCTTTTAGTAAGGAATCAAAATCAGAACCAAGGCTACAAAGTATTTAAGAACTCTACAAAACTTACAGAATAAAATGAAGAGCCTTATTTCAAATATTCCCACTATAATGGATCCCACTGACATTTCTAGACTCCCCTCCCACAGACTCCCAGCACCACCAGAGCTACAGCACAACTCCACATTCACTGCGCACTGTCCTCACATTTTCAGCTGCATCTTTTGGTGATTCTGGGCACTCTGGGTAAAATGCCCTGAAAATAGTCCTTCTTTTTGAAATTCCATCCTTCTTTTTGCAACTGCAAAACCACCACAGAAGAACAGATGAGTTGAGCAGGAGAGAGAGAAATAACTAAAATTAAGCCCCCTCTCCAAGTAACAATGTACTCCAAATGCCAAAATAATTGAAAAAATCTAGTCAAGCCAAGATATAAGTGCCACCAATTCCTATAATTGTTTGACCAAAATAAGTCCATATAAGATGCTCATCAAAATAAATGAAAAAAAGCATTTCTGAAAAGAACAACTATAAAATTATGTTACAAATTTATGATATAATCCTTTCAGAAATGAGTATAGCAAGAAGACAAGAATAAGTGAAGATATCAAAGACAAGAACAATTACTACTGCACTAAATTGCTAAATATATTAAATATTGTTGGAATACACACACACATACATACAGTCGATGAAGAATATATATTTTTTGGATACAGACACACCATTTATAAAAATAGCCCATTTTAGACCTTTGAAATGATCTCAACAAATTCCAAAAGATCAATATATAATTCAGATTACTTGCTCTAACAATAGTGAAATAAAATTAGAAATTAATGCCAAAATACAGCTATTATGCCATTTCAAGTATTTAGGAACTAAGTAAGATATGTGTAAGCAGCCCATGGGGTTAAAAAAAACTCCTAAAGGAAATTAAAATCTTAGAACTGAATACAAATGAAACACAGTTCATGTAAAAATCTAACATAGTTTACGAGTACTTAGATGGAAATTTATTTTTTTACATGCATCATTAGGGATTAAGAAAGGTTTAAAATAGACATCTGTATTATTTCTTTCCTTCTTATCTCTTTGGATGTGCTTTGTTACTCTTTTTCAATTCACTGTGTTAAATTCTGTGCTTGAATGACTAATAAGTATGTGAAAAAAGATGCTCAGCTTCATTAGTATTCAGAGATAAGCAAATGTAAACAATGAGATACAGGGCAGGTTTGTTACATGCAACTGCATAGTCAAAGATAGCTCCTTACCACATTTGCATTCTAGCCATCAGGAAAAGAGGTAAGGGAAAGGGGAAGGGAGGCAACACCTCACTTTCTAAAGGGCATTCCATGGAAGACGCACACATCACTGCAGCTCACATACCGTAGACCAGAACCTGGGCACATGGCTACACATGGCTACACATGTCTACACCTCAGAGCCTTCATAGGGCCTGGGAGATGTACATTTTGTTGCAAGTCTTCCCTTCACCAAGAGGAAAGCTAGGCTTTCTATTACAGAGAAGAAACAGAGAATGGATCCTGAATGGATGGCTGGCATACTCTGTCACAGGTGACACACCTAAGGTTTTTTAAAACTCCAGCCCAACTGTGATATTCTCATGTAATCATTAGGTTGTGAAAAAGTCTATGCTGTTCAGATTTGGAATCTCAAAAATAGCTTTGGAAAGAAAAAAGGATTCATGTAAACCTTCCTTTAGGAAACTCTGAACTTTTCCAAACACTGAAAGAATCAGGACACCTGTGATTCATGACTGAAGAAAGCAGGAAAATGAGAATTATCAGGGAGAGAAATAAAAGCCAAGAGAGGCAGAGTTGTGATACAAGGCAAATTACTGTTAGTCTTCAAGTGTCAGAATTAGAACCCAAGGTCATTGTAATCACTTCAAAGTTCAGTAGGCCCAAGATCTTCAACCCATTGACTGAACAGGAATAAAATACTACTTTCTATATTATATCTCTTCTCTGCCGTCCCCTATACCACTCAAAGAAATGCAGATATATCTGTAAAATCAGTATAAAATTTACACTTAGCAGAAAAATGCTTTAAAAGAGAGAAAGACATAGGAAGTGGCAGCACTATTTCTTTACTGTGTCCCTAGTTGCCCACCAGAATCAATGCCTGATGCCAGCTAAGGAATTTATTATACTCTAGAGATGGCTTCCATGGTAGCCAATGGAAATTAGCTTCTTTCAGATGACAAATACTTTCCTGTGCCCAGAGTTCTGAAACGTGTGTGTGTGCTCATGCATTTGTCCTTCCTTGTCCCTTCCTACTTCAGAAGTCTTACAAGAGTCTGGCAGGAATGGACAGATACAAGGTGTACAAAAATGCAAAATGATTAAAAGGAGCTACAAACACCATTGGTGGGCAAAGACAATGTAGTGGGTTGAACTGTGTCCCACAAAAAGGAATGTTCATCAGGACTCAGGCAAAATAGGGCAAGACTTCAGAAGGAGTTGAAATACATGTAGCAGTGCTCAGGAAATAAAAACTAAAATAAGAGAGAAGCTATTTTCTGTGATCAAAGTGTTTTCTGTAAGAAAAAAAAATGGGATGGAAGGTATAAAAGGACTCTTTGAGAAAGGTTAAGACTTCCGGTATAATTATTAATTACATTGCACTTAATCTATGTGAATGTATAACTTGATTTAAAAGTAAACATTAAACTATTAAAAAGCTAACAGAAAGGAAGAAAGAGAGATTCAAGTCCTAACCCCAAGTACCTGAATATGTGACCTTATTTAGAAACAGGGTCAAGAGGTAATCAAGTTAAAATAAAGTCATATGGATTAGGATGGTCTCTAAATCCAATGACTGGTGTCCCTATGAGGTGAAGGAGATCTGGAGACACAGACACACAGACATACAGACCCACATGGAATAGGCCATTTGAAGATGGGCAGAGACTGGAGTCACACAGCGACAAGCCAAAGGACAGTAGAGATGGCCATGAGGTACCAGAAATTGGAAAGAAACAGGGAAGCCTTCTTCCCCGAGCCCTCTGAAGGTCACAGCCCTGCTCAGCAGCTTGATTTTGGACTTCTGGCATCCAGAACTGTGACTGAGTAAATTTGTGTTGTTTTAATCCACCAGTTCATAGAAATTTGTTACAGCAGCCCTAGGAAACTAATACAGATGAAAATTATATTTCTGGGCCAAATTTTTATATTACATCATCAGGAGTTAGTTCTAGGCAGTTGAACCTCAGGGAAATGGGAAAATCTTGCCTTGCTTATTTGACCTGAGGCTCAGAAACGACGCTCTAGCAGCCCACAACATGCTGTGATGAATCCCCTAATTAAACAATTCCAGAGATCATCTGGAATAAATAGACTTTTGAAGGAGATTTAGGGGACCTATGCTGCTTTCTGGCCATAGAATAGCATGAAGAGCATGAGGAATTCAAAATTATGTTATGAATGCTTCTAAAAAAACCAGAAAGTTGAAACAAAAGTTCAAACCCTTAATTTGCCTGGACTAGGATGAATTAAGATTATTACTTATCACCAAAACTGAGGTAACTGGGGACCAAACTCCTTCAGGTTGTTGAGTTGACAGTCTAATGATTTCTCACCTGGCAAGTATAGCATTGGTCACAAAGGGGTATATCTAGGAATTTGAAAATATATGGCAGGATTTAGAGGATTTGGACTTCCCCAAGCCTCCAACACTAACCCCCCAAACTCCTCATCCAAATGAATCAGCCTCTGATGAGGCTGCCTCCCACCTTCTTGAAGACACTGGAATTCCCTTGATTCCCTTTGCCAAGGGAAGTTGCTTCTTCATGCCTATCCCCAAACTTTCCCTCTGCCATCCCTCACAGTCTCTAGAGGAAGCTACAGTATATGCAAGGGGACTAAACCCAAGAAGAAAAGGCCTAATTGCAGTATGTAGCTTAAATTTCAGGAAAAACACTGTATCACAGTGGTTAAGAGCACAGGGAATAGCACCAGACTGCCTGCATTCAACCTCCCCTGTGACCTGCACTGTGTGACCTTAGCCAAGGTCCTTTACATATTTTTGCCTCTGTTTCCTCACCTGTAAAATTACAATAATACTAGTTTTACCCCGAAGGGTTGTTGAAAAATAAAAATGAGTCAATATATATAATGTGCTTAGAAGAGCTGGCACAAAAGTGCTATGTAAATCTCAGCTATTCTTTCTTTTTTCCAGAAGAGTGAACGGAGCAAGCTCCTATTCCACCTCCCTGATCTAAAAATCCATTTACTATATTGTCCTCAAATAGAGGATGTATTTTATTAAACTGATAAGAACAGACAGTACACTTGATCTTAGCCAAAAGGTCAAGAAGGGTTATCTTAGCTATTCTTCAATGCCACGTTAAACTGCTTTAGGATTCAGTCTCCAAAGGCTCCAGCCAACAATCATCCCTTGGGATAGTTAGACTCAGGCCTTTTGTAGCACTCAGGCAGGCTCCATTCCGAGATGCTTCACACCTTGGGATGACCACCATGCCCAGCACAGTCAATCTGCACATATGCTGAACAGGTACATGTGGCTGAGGAAACAAAGACAACAGCAAAACTGTACATACTACTACCATATCCATCTTACAAGGTCTGCAGCATGGAAAAGAAGTGTAATTATGCAGTCAGATTACACGGCCCTCTTTATATATAACTACCATTTATTGAGGCCTTTGCTGTGAGCGATGCTATGTGCTTTCCACTTTACAAGCTGCTATTGACTGAATGTTATTGTTCCTCCCACATTCATTATGTTAAAGCCCTAACCCCCAGTGTGATGGTATTTGGAGATGAGGCCTTTGGGAGGTTATTAGGGTTAAGTAAGGTCATGAGGGTGGTGACCTCATGATAGGATTAGTGTCCATATAAGAAAAAATATCAGAGAAACACTGTTATTTCTTCTCTCTCTCTCTCTCTCTCTCACAGCAAAAAGGCCAACTGTGCTGGCACCCTGATCTTACACTTACAACCTTCAGAATCGTGAGAAATAAATTCCTGTTCTTTAAGCCACTCAAACTATGGCATGGGGTTATGGTAGCCTGAGTTGACTAAGACACAGGCATTATCCATAGTCCTCAGGAGAATACAAGACACAGTCCCTGTCCTTAGGGAATTTGCAGTCTAGTGGGTACTAATCTCAGGGTGATTAGATACTGCATTAGGGAAGGACACCAAGGATAACTTGAGAGAAGAAATATATAAACTACACCGTAGACACATACAACTCTCTGCTAATGCAAGGGGCTGTTTCTCTCTTTATGACAACTAGCAATGTTATTTGAAAACAATGTCAAGCACTGTTTCTTCCCACCCCTCACCCAGGCAACTTCTCAGGGGCTATGCCTCTAATCCCTCCCTCTCTCTCTCTCCCTCTTTGTGTATGTATGTGTGTGTGTGTGTACATGTGTGCATGCACGTTTCCTTTCATTTCTGCTCTCACCTACTTCAAAATTATTGAAAGAGTTTGGACTGGGAATCTCCGGTATACCAAAGTTTCAGAACAATCTTGCTCTGCTGAGTGATAGTGGTTTCAGAACCAAGGACAGCACCTCGCACCACCTCTCCAGTACTTTTTCTACCAGCACCTACAGTAGTGTGATCAGATCTCCCCCACAGTCACAGGTTAACCCAGATCTCTCACACACCACCCTAAGAAAATAATACTGATAGTAAAGTAATAGTAGCAACACCTAATATTTATTGAGTGCTTAATATATGGTATACATGTATTATTTAACTTAATTCCCATAACATCCCTGTAAGTTAGGTATTTTTATTATCCCAGTTTACAGTTGATAAACAAATTCAGAAGGAGGTCAAGTAGCCTGCCCAAGGTCACATAGATAGTAAGAAAGAGCCATAATTGGAATTTAAATTTGACATTTATTATTATCCAATTTGACATCTCTAATTACATAATTCTGTTTGCCAAAATTGTTCCTCTGAGCAATTTTTCTGCAGTAAAGCACTATTTTCTGATAACACTATCAAAACTATGTGTATTTCACTATAATAATGCTATTGATCGCTGACTTAATTATTCTTGAGATATTGATCTCCCATGAAGCCAGGTAATAGGTGGAGTCTGCAGCAAGGAATCATACTGGGAGCCCCCCAGTTAATCATCACTTTCAGTCTTACCCTGTGAAAGATGCAGTTATTATCACCAATAGGGAGAATCCAGAAGTAAAATTGTAATGGAAAATTGCTATCTTTCAAGGGCTTTGCTAGGTATGTTCTCAATAGTTTGAAATTTGATGTTCACTTCTGAAAATAAAGTTTGTTGCATTTTTTCAATTATAAATGCATACTCAAGAGAAAAAAAAAACCAAAAGGAAAAATTCACTCCTTTTCCAATTCCCAGTAACCATTCCTTCTATTTTTGTATTTCTTGGCAGTCTTTCTTTATAAAGTTAATTTCATCAAGTCATAGGAACAAGTGGGCTAGGATCCTCTTCTCCCATCTCTGCCTCAAACAAAATTATATATTAAGCATTTATCAGATCACCATAGTGGAGCTCCAAGTAAATTCTCATTTGAAGAAAGGATATCACTAGTTTTTTAAATTAAAGTTTTAAAAAATTATCTAGTAATGACTTTAGCTTATGAATATTTCCAACGTGAATTCCAATTATAAACCATAAATACTTGTAGCTGACTCAGTCATGTAGAAGGAAATCTCAAATCTGAGGATTCCTGAACCCAAATTCAGCATGCTATCCACTTAAACACCACTAGGTGGTACTAGGTGATTTTTCTTTTCAGTAATATGTGTATGAGTGTGTGTTTTCCTTTAGGAAAAAAAGTGTAAATGGGCTTGAGGGACATTTTGGGGGCAATGGAAAATTTTTAAAACTGGATTGTGGTGATAGCTCACAAACTTAAATCGCAAGTTTACTAAAAAGTCTTGACTTACACTTCAATAAAACTGTAAAAAGAAAAAAAGCTTAAATTTTCCCACACATGGTAAATCTTGAGAGCATTCATATACTTTGTCCATATATTTGTAAGAAAGCTCCCTGCTCAGCTACAAGTTAAAATTTTAAATTCATTTAGATAATCGGATCATGCTTTCTACCATTGTACTTTTACTCCTTTAATCTGCATCCTTTCAAAATTGTCTTACATAATGCTACAAGTATTTAATCTGTATAATTAAGTATATGTTTAAAATCTCTGTTCCTAGGTTATGTAGTACATTCAAATAGTAACAATTTGATGTTTAGTTCTGGCCTTTTAATATCTTCTTTAATGTGCAAAGTATCTCCATGACTGTAGGAGCCCATAAACCCCCATTTTTAATTTGGGCAATAATTTTAGCATATAGTTTGATTATGGATTTTTTTTACAGGGACAGTACATGATACATAATCCAGACACGTTAAAGGGCAGTCTGCAATAAGTCTGCCCTTACTTCAGATGCCAGGCACAAGATGGGGGACTCCAGGGCAACTGTATTTCTGACCAACTGGTTACAAATTTGGGGGTTCCAATGACAGATAAACTATGTGCTCACCATCACAATCAGGATCAACAATATCGCCGTCAGCTCCTTCCCAGTAACTCTCCACCTGTTCTGGTGATCATTTTTCCTATTTACTACTAAAGATGAATAACTCTGAGTCACCATCTCTATCCAGCCAGGGAAAATCAAGTTTATGGAAGAGTCCAGCAGTTTTTCTTCTTTTTGGGAGAAGGGCGGACTTCTACTCCAGAGGGACATTACCTGCTGTTTGTGGGGTAGGGGTAGAGAGGGGTATTAGTGAAGTTTTTCAGAATTTTATCTGATATTCTTCTTTTTCACATGTGCTTCTACAGAGATTAAAAACTACATCCCTGTATCTGTCTGTGGGTGAGATTTTTCTAACTTTGTGTTACTAAAAGATGAACAAATGAGGTGCTCTGAAATGTGGAGAAGGGAGAAGACTGGTGCAAGAGGACAAGGATAGGCCTCCACCAGCCCTGAACCCCAAATCTTGGCTCAAACACTGACTGCATGATATCAGACTGTGTTAGTTAACAAGACTGAGCACATCTGTGAGATGGACAGTAGTGGCCTCGTACTGATTTTATCTGTCTGTGCATCTGCATCCCTGATAACCAGTGCACACAGAGGGCAGGACCATGCCTGCTTCTGCGGCACCTCCCAGGCCTGGCCCCCTGGAGGGAGCTCACTCAGGTTGTAGAACCATAGAGTGGCTCTGAGTGGCTCATGATCTGGCCTCACCTCAAATTGATTTCCCTCAGAAAGATTCTTCCTAAAGATGCTGTTTTCCTTCTGCTATTCTCTTTTCCCTCCAATACTCCTTTGTTGCCCTTTTCACAAAATGGACATACCGAAGAGAGGAAAAAAATTGCAAGAGGGAAAAAAGCTAAAAATGGCAGCAAAAAATGCAGGGATTGCAAATTTTTATGGAAAAGAAACTTATTTCTTCATTCTAAGCTATAACTTCTACAGATATGGAAATACAATTTAATTTTTTTCTATATTTGTTCAATGTCTATTTAAGGGTTTTTTTTATGATGGTAGTTGTTTGATGAGACTGCATTGGAGCCTTAATTATACAAGGTCAACATATTTTCACCAGAGGAGAGGCCACTGAACTGCAGTAATTCCACTTAAACTTTTCTCAGACTGTAATTAATAGTCTCTCCTAGTTTAGAAAAATCAAGTAGAATGTCTTAATATATGTTCAAATAATTTAAAATTCTTAACTCGTGACTACAACCCAACTTTCTTTGAATCATCTATTTGTGTCTTTGGGTTTGTACCCAAGTCCCTGATGCCTTAGGAAAGCTGTTGAACTATTTGGGGTTGAAGCTCTCTGATCTGCCAATGAGGATCATAATGGAAACAAATTTTAGCATGACGGTACTTTACAAAAGAAAAAAAGCACTGCAATATGAAGCTGGGTGATTCAAAAGGTGAAGAATGTAATTCTATGAATCTGTTCAATACATATTTATTAAGAATCATTCATAAAATAGGGTTCTGCATCTGTAGACTCTGAGGATGGATTTATCCATGACATAAAAATCTTTGTGACCTTGGCTTACGCAATTAGAGAATGAATCTGAAAACCATTATGCTGAGTGAAACCCAGATCAAAAAAATATAGTATAGATTCTCCTCGGGATTAAAGATGGTGGCATGAGAAGTGAGACAGAGGCTTCCTCCTAAAACCACATATAATATGAAAATATAATTAATACAACTAACTCTGAGAGAGCAACACAAAAGAAGACTGCCCTAGGCTGCTTACACCTGGAGAAAAAGAGCAGACTTCATGGAACAGGATAACATACCAAAGCTGTGGCCCGGCAGGACC